CATGTATATTTCCGCTCGCGAGTCCCGTTCACACGCGCGCTGTGGACCCAATGCGCGTGCACGGGTTGTGGCACGCTTTAAACGCCATAAAATCGGCGGCCTCCAGCTCTGCAGCTGTACCTTTGTCTTCGGCCTGGCCGAAAACGGTTTATGATTGGTCAGTCCTCATGCACATGTGCAGACTATCGTTCTCTTTCCTTACTCCCAGAAGAACGGTTCAAAGAGAGTTGTAAAACTTCCAGGATGAATCGACGCTTGACTATAACCTGTCACTGGGAAGGAGGACACACGCCGTTGCTGAGCTATCTGGAAGCTAGTTTTCTGGCAAATTGGATTAGCCGGGTGGAGTGGTTGGTGGATTGGCTGACGGCCTCTCGAGGTCCTGTAAGACGGTTCTACAGTGATGCGCCCGTTCAATCTCTGTTGACGTTGCTATGGGGAGGAAATTTGCTGATGGCGATGGGTACTTCTTGGTCGGAGGGTAGGGGAGCGGCGAAGAGAGATCAAGGGTTTAGGAGTGACACCTCGCCGGAGGGGGTTGGGGTTGACGGTCTGGTTAAGCAGCTGAGGACCAGAGTGTTCGGCGTGTCTAGCTTGGTGGTTCATGTTCAGGCAAAGAGTGGCGGCGGTTTCACTTCCCGTAGCCCATTGCAGCTGTCTAAAGAGCTGAAGAATTGGGTTGGGGAAGTGGTGGATGCCACTGTTTGGCCTGGTGGAGTGCCGTCGATTGAGTGCAGCTCTGAGAAGCAGCGTGCTACGGCGCTCGTTCTTAGGGAGTTTATGGATGTGGAAGTTGTTAATTCGGAAAAGGGTAGAATGCCTTCTCTGGGTCAGGGATGAGGTCCTGCCCCAAGTGGAGGAGTTTAAGTATCTTGGGGTCTTGTTCACGAGTGAGGGAAAACTGGAGCGTGAGATCGATAGGCGGATTGGTGCTGTGTCTGCAGTGATGCGGGCATTGTACCGGTCTGTCGTGGTGAAGAGAGAGCTGAGTCAAAAGGCGAAGCTCTCGATTTACCGGTCGATCTACCCTCACCTAAGGTCATGAGCTTTGGGTAATGACCGAAAGAACTAGATGCTGATACAAGCGGCCGAAGTGAGTTTTCTCCGAAGAGTGGCTGGGCTCTCCCTTAGAGATAGGGTGAGAAGCTCGGTCATTCGGGAGGGGCTGGGAGTAGACCCGCTGCTCCTCCACATCGAGAGGAGCCAGTTGAGGTGGCTCGGGCATCTGGTCAGGATGCCTCCTGGACGTTTCCCTTCGGATTGGTCGGTCTACGATCGATGCAATAGCGCCACTTGATTTGGATGTAAGGCAGGCGAAGGCCAATAAAGGGAGAGTGGTGGTGGTGTTCCTAGACTTAGAAAAGGCCTACAACTTACTGTGGAGGGGTGGGCTGTTCCTTTCTTTGTATAGAGCTGGGGTTCAGGGAAGGCTTTTGCGATGGGTCAGGGGATTCCTGTGTGATAGGATGATCCAGGTTCGGGTGGATTCTACTCTGTCATCGTCTGTGGGGTTGGAGAATGGGGTGCCCCAGGACAGTGTGGTTAACCCATATCCTTTTTAATGCACTGGTTAATGGCCTGTTTTGTTCCCTGGGCAGTGATTTGGGGTGGTACCTGTTCGCAGAAGAGGGTGCCTTCTGGAAGCGGGGCAGAAATCTGTCGGCTATTTTCAGCAGGATTTAGGCCGGCTTGGATGGACTGGTGGCCTGGGCACAGCAATGGGGTTTTAAATTTTCCACATCTAAAACGAAGTACATGGTTTTCGAATTTAAGAGGCGGGTCCCAGAGAGAGGCTTGTTGTTGGGGGGATGAGCTCTGGAGCGACAGGAACACTTTGGTGAGGGCTTATTGGGGTCTGATCAGGCTGGCCTTGGACTATGGTAGTATTTTGTATGCATTGCCGCTCCGACTACCTTAAAGCGGCTGGATGTGGCGCAGGCTGCAGCATTGAGACTGTGTTGTGGAGCTGTTAGGACCACACCGTTGTCAGCCCTTCTTGTGGAGATGGGTGATGTGCCACTGAGGCTCAGGAGGTTCAAGTTGGGCTGGCGGTATCTGATGAGGGTTAAAAGTATGGGTTCCGCAACCCCTGTGTTGGCACTGGTGGATGCTCATTGGGAGTTTGCTGGTGGGGGGCGGTGGGGTAGGGGTGGTTTTCCCGATGTTTTGTGGGAAAAAGCGTCTGAGTTGGGCTTCTTTGGTTGGTCTTTGTGTTCGTCTTTGGTGTGGCTTGTGGTGCCTTCCTGGCTGTTGCCGGATCATGACGTTGACCTTTCCCTTTTAGTCAGGAATAGGGATGGTGTTCGGGCTAAGGGTTTGGAGGATTCTATGGAGTTAGTTTGGAGGGTGCATTTGCGGCTGTTTACCGACGGATCCAGAGATCCGGCTAGCGGTAGAGCGGCGGTAGGGGTGACAGGTTCCTAGCAAGGGGTTTGCTGTTGGGTACCGTATTCAGGATGGGCTCTCTGTTTGCGGCCGAGATGGTGGCGATCCTATGTGCCCTGTGGTGGATACATGACCATGCATTTACTGTGTTGTGAGGTCAGCTTTGTTTGGGTTCCAGCAGATGTGGGAGTGGAGGGTAATTAGCAGGTGGATTCAGAGGCCAAGGACGCATTTGGGCAGGGCTGAGGTGGATCTGCAGGTGGAGGCTGGGTTGTCGGACAGTTACTCCTTGGAGATGTGGCAGGCCTCCTGGGACGCTGAGCGTACGGGATGCTCTTATGAAAGGCTGTAGAGTCGGGTGGGGGTTGGTGGGTTGACTCATGAAGGTAGACGGAGGGACTCTGTGGCTTTAACTTGGTTGAGGCTGGACCACAGTTGCCTGAAGGCAGGTTCGTCTTTGGTGGGGAGGCATCCTGACGGCTGCTGTGCTTGTTGGGAACAGGAGACCGTGGATCATGTTCTGTTGCGGTGCCGGTTGTTTGATGAGCAGTGGAGGTCCTTGTTCGACTTTCAAGGGGCTGCGGGGACGGTCGTGTTCGGCTTGTGGATCCTGTTGGCGGTGCCTGACTGGGTCGTGATTGGTGCACTGCTACGTTTCTTCGGGGTGTAGGAGAGGCCTTGAAGGGAGTGGCTGTCGAGATAAGGTTGCCGTGGCAGCAATGCGCCCTTTGGGCATACAGCCTGTCGTTTTCAGTGAAGAAGAAGAAGAATGGTTCAGAGTGCAAATGGTCTCTTTGTTGCTAGTCTGCAGGGAATATCTACAAGAAAGATCTACAGAAAGTAGCAAAGGGTCCTGAGAAATGTCGCTAGGCGCTTTTTGGAAAAAAAAGTAATTGAGGGGGGTCAAAAAGTCGTTAGGAACAGCGACAAAGTGGCTGAGTTGGCAGCACTGCTAAGAACCAGGAACGTGCTGATGGGTATCCTACTCCTGGCAGAATGAGTTTACTTCCGGTGTAACGCACATGTCTGTGGGTGCTTTTACCCGCGTGCTGTCTTGCAGGTGTCCTCTCCCATTATATGCAGGGATGTCCTACGCATTGTGGACATTCGGCGTTACACCAGAGACCAGACGTCCCCTGTCTACTTCCCCCAGACTGTCCTCAGTGGTGAGACATTTCTAATGAAACTGGATCAGACCGTGTGAGGCGGGTCAGTCAGAACAGAGAGGATACCTCAACCCACTCTGACATGTTCTTGTCTTGTGTCTCCAGCTGATGACCTGTATGACGTCACACTGACAGACGAGGACTGTCTCCTTCAGCTGACTCTGGACCCCTGTCTGAACCGACTGGTGGAGAGGCGTGTCCTGCAGCCGGGCTCAGCCTTCTGTAACGCCTCCTTCAGCCCCACCCTGAGCGCTCAGCTCCCAGAATGCCCTGGGGCCTCTAGAGACAGGTGAGTGTAGCTGGATGTGTACAGGTGATGTAACAGGTGAGCTGAGTTTGGCCTATCCGCCCGCAGCTACAGACTGGTGAGCCTGCAGGTTAGAGACGAGGGTCGAGGCGAGGATGACGACACCAGGGTCAGGAGTTCAGGCTGGGACTCTCTGCCCTGGTTTGGATCATCAGAACCAACAGGTGAAAGCACGTGTGTGTGTGTGTGTGTGTGTGTGTGTGCGCGTGTGTGTCCTGTCAGCTCACTGGTCCATTGATTTGATAGGTCCGCTGGTTCCTCTCAGAGCCAATCGGGTTGTGTTTCTTCCACTGTGGAACAGCGTGGACTACAGCGGGGAGGTGTGGAGGGAAGCTCCGCCCACTGAAGGAGGATTTGATGATGATGATGAAGAGGACAGAGGTTGTTGTTTTAATTCCATGATGCCCCTGTAGCCAATCACAGTGCTGCTCCTTCAGGAAGTAATATTGGAGTCACATGACTGTGTTGCCAGGACGACGCCCAGGGGTGACAGTGTCCGAGCTGCGAAACTCCTTCCTGTCAGGGCGAGGAGGTGTGGCCAGGGGTGCTGTCCAGCATCAGCTGATTGTACGCATCATCAGCAAGTCTCACCTGATGTATTATGGGAGGACTGACAGGAACTGTGAGTGTCCATATAAGGTCAGTGAGCATGTGCAGGTGTCAATCACAGGTGGTCCAACAAACTGAGACTCTGTAGAACAGCACAGGTCCTTTATACAGTTAAAGTCCCAGTGATGTCACACACTGGTGTATGGTGAACATTGTCCTCAGCATCTCACCCATCCCCTGGGGATCTGGTGGTTTAACCCCAGACCAGCCCCAAGCAGGAAGGCATTGGGTCCCATTTTAGTTTTTGGTCTGACCCGACCGGGATTTGAGGATTTGAGGGATTTGACTCAGTGCTTTAAGTGCAAGACCAAGTCATGGAGATGTGAGAGACCAAGTCTAGGAGACGTGACAGACCAAGTCTAGGAGATGTGACAGACCAAGTCTAGGAGATGTGAGAGACCAAGTCTAGGAGACGTGACAGACCAAGTCTAGGAGATGTGAGTTGGTCTATCACATCTCCTAGACTTGGTCTGTCACATCTCCTAGACTTGGTCTATCACATCTCCTAGACTTGGTCTGTCACATCTCCTAGACTTGGTCTGTCACATCTCCTAGACTTGGTCTATCACATCTCCTAGACTTGGTCTATCACATCTCCTAGACTTGGTCTGTCACATCTCCTAGACTTGGTCTGTCAGGTCTCCTAGATTTGGTCTCTCACATCTCCTAGACTTGGTCTGTCACGTCTCCTAGACTTGGTCTGTCACGTCTCCTAGACTTGGTCTCTCACATCTCCTAGACTTGGTCTGTCACGTCTCCTAGACTTGGTCTGTCAGGTCTCCTAGACTTGGTCTGTCACGTCTCCTAGACTTGGTCTCTCACATCTCCTAGACTTGGTCTGTCACGTCTCCTAGACTTGGTCTCTCACATCTCCTAGACTTGGTCTCTCACATCTCCTAGACTTGGTCTGTCACGTCTCCTAGACTTGGTCTGTCACGTCTCCTAGACTTGGTCTCTCACGTCTCCTAGACTTGGTCTCTCACATCTCCTAGACTTGGTCTGTCAGGTCTCCTAGACTAGGTCTGTCACGTCTCCTAGACTTGGTCTGTCACGTCTCCTAGACTTGGTCTCTCACATCTCCTAGACTTGGTCTGTCACGTCTCCTAGACTTGGTCTCTCACATCTCCTAGACTTGGTCTGTCACGTCTCCTAGACTTGGTCTCTCACATCTCCTAGACTTGGTCTGTCAGGTCTCCTAGACTTGGTCTCTCACATCTCCTAGACTTGGTCTGTCAGGTCTCCTAGACTTGGTCTGTCACGTCTCCTAGACTTGGTCTCTCACATCTCCTAGACTTGGTCTGTCACGTCTCCTAGACTTGGTCTGTCACGTCTCCTAGACTTGGTCTCTCACATCTCCTAGACTTGGTCTGTCACGTCTCCTAGACTTGTTCCATCACATCTCCTAGACTTGGTCTGTCACGTCTCCTAGACTTGGTCTGTCAGGTCTCCTAGACTTGGTCTGTCACGTCTCCTAGACTTGGTCTCTCACATCTCCTAGACTTGGTCTGTCACGTCTCCTAGACTTGGTCTGTCACGTCTCCTAGACTTGGTCTCTCACATCTCCTAGACTTGGTCTGTCACGTCTCCTAGACTTGTTCCATCACATCTCCTAGACTTGGTCTGTCACGTCTCCTAGACTTGGTCTCTCACATCTCCTAGACTTGGTCTGCCACGTCTCCTAGACTTGTTCCATCACATCTCATTGACTATCCATTGCATCTCATAGAGCTACTGGAGTTCATATTTGGAGAAGGATGAACAGAGAGAAGCCACCTGTTTATACAGCTAAGGTCCAGCTGAGCCATCGGCTCTTAGAGGGTAACTAGTACAGAGCCCTGAGGTTCTCCACAGCTGTGGACATTTATTTATTCTTTATTTAACCAGGAAGGTCCCGTTGAAATGAAACATTTCCAAGGGAGTCCTGGCCCAGAGGCAGCAGAAGTTACAGATGTTTCAGCTCCACAGACATGTTATGTACTACATTCCAGAAGACCGTTACAACACAGGGAGTCCGGCACTCTTATCCATCGTAGTTTGTTCTTTTAAAGCTTAAGACCAGACTTTTCACTTCCTGTTTGACTCTTCACTTCCTGTATGTGTCCAGGTGTTCCTGCAGGTGAACGACTGCACAGGAAGTGTGTGTGTGGTGTTGTGGAACAGTGTGTGTGTAAACTGGTATCGCTGTGTGAAGCCTGGTGACATCATCAGTCTGAGACACTATCGAGTGAAACGGCACTACCAGGCTCAGGTGGATGACATAGGTGCACAGTCTCTCCCTCTCTCACACACACACACACACACACACACACACACACACACACACACACACACACACACACACACACACACACACACACACACACACACACACACAGATGATGCCAGACTTCCTGGACCAGCTGTTGTCCACATGTCTCTCAGCTGTTTGTCCCTGAGACGTCTTCCATGTCTCCTCAGAGATCAGTGTCAACAGCAGGAATCCTGCCGCTCAGATCGCTGTCCTCCCAGAATCCTCGGTTTCACCTGAGCACCTCCCACCTGCACCCACCTACAGCTTCTGCAGCAGGTAAGCCCTTAGGAGCCTGGTTCTGTAGACCTGTTCGGGTGGTTCTGACCCGTTTGTCTTCTGGGTAAACGCTGACAGTAAGGACTTGCTGGAGCTCGCCGACTGCAGCGTGTGTGATGTCATCGGCCTGCTGACGTTCACAGGGCGATCGGAGCGGGTCAGGAGTAGAGGTGAGCGTTGCCATGGAGACAGACAGTAGTAATGAAATGGGATAATCTTATTGGTTTGTATTTATATTGTGATAGACAGTCGAGGGGCGGAGCTTCGGGAATATCGGTGGTTGCGATTGGAGGATGGAAGCAGCAGTAAGCCAATCATGGTGAAGCTTTTCTCCACATCTCAGCCTGAAGCACACCTGAAGCTCCACCCACGTGAGTCAGTGGTAACCTCCCACCTGGTTACTAACCAATCCTGATCAGCTGGTATTGATGAGTCGTTGTCTCCGTAGTCTCAGTGGTCGTTTGCACCCGACTGACACGGATCAGATGTGATCGTGGTTTTTACCTGACCAACAGCGCCTTCACTCAGGTGTACTGCACAGGTAACTCTGGGTCTGCTTCTCTCATTGGTTGTCCAGTTTCACCATACCTGACCTCTGACCTCTCATCTCATTGGCTGCTGGGCAGGACTGGGCCACCACTCACAGATGAGCTACCGTAGGTCTCCACAGGTGAAGCTCTTCCTCCAGTGGCTGGGGAGTCAGGAGGATGCCCAGGTGCTGAGCAGAGCTCTGATTGGAGGATTCTTCATCCACCCGCCCCCTCCTGTCTCCTTGGAAACGTACATGAAGGAGAGGAGAGGTCAGCTGGTCTAGTGGATGCCAGTTTTAATCCGTTAGAATGACAAAGACCTTCAGTGACCTCCAACTGTCTCATCACAGGTGAGATGGGGTTCCTGCAGGGGGCGGAGCTTCAGAGGGAGCTGGAGAGGCTCTGTTACCGGGAGCGACATTCCTTCTGCATCCAGGCAACAGTTACCATGGTTACCTACAGCCTCAGAGGAAAGGTGATGTCCAGGGCATGCCCAGACACACACGCACGCACGTGCACACACACACACACACACACACGCACGCACGCGCACACACGCACGCACACACACACACACGCACGCACACATACACACACACACATACACACACACACACACACATGCACGCACACATGCACACACTAACACACACACACACACACGCACGCACACACACACGCACACAACATGACCTGAAACATGTCCTGGGCTCCTTCAGGAGGACCGCTGTTTGTTCTGGATGGATAGAGCTTCATCCCTCTCCTCTCCCTCCCCTCAACCCCCCTCCTCACCACCTTCACTAAGACCCTCCTCTTCACCCTCGTTCTCTCCGGCCTCAGCTGCCAGCACGTCCACTCCTCATCCTTCTGACCACACTGCTCGGTGAGTACTCCTCTCCATCATGTCCTCTCATGGTGAAGGTTGGACTGACATCTTGGTGTCTGTTATAGCACAAAGCGGATGAAGAGGAAAATGCTGCTACAGGATGAGACGCCGAAGAAAAGGTGAGTCATGAAGGTCCCGGAGGTGATGGAGGTTCCGTTTGACAATAATGATGTTTTTGACCTGCAGACGTCCACAGCTCACCGTTCTACCAGAAGACAAGAACAAGACAGGTGAGATCAGAACAAACACCTACAACCTCAACTGTATTCTTGTCCCAGAGGGACATGTGGTTGGCTGTAGTGTACACAATAGAACATTGTATGAACCCGGTGTAAACCCGGTATAAACCCGGTGTAAGCCCGGTATAAACCCGGTGTAAGCCCGGTATAAACCCGATTTAAACCCAGTATAAACCCGGTGTAAGCCCAGTATAAACCCGATTTAAACCCAGTCTAAACCCGGTGTAAACCCGGTATAAACCCGATGTAAACCTGGTATAAATCCGATGTAAACCCGGTATGAACCCGATGTAAACCTGGTATAAACCCGATGTAAACCTGGTATAAACCCGGTGTAAACCCGGTATAAACCCGGTGTAAGCCCGGTATAAACCCAGTGTAAGCCCGGTATAAACCCTGTGTAAGCCCGGTATAAACCCGGTGTAAGCCCAGTATAAACCCGATTTAAACCCGGTCTAAACCGGGTGTAAACCTGGTATAAACCCGATGTAAACCTGGTATAAACCCGATGTAAACCCGGTATAAACCCGATTTAAACCTGGTATAAACCCGATGTAAACCTGGTATAAACCCGGTGTAAACCCGGTATAAACCTGATGTAAACCTGGTATAAACCCGGTGTAAACCCGGTATAAACCCGATGTAAACGCGGTGTAAACCTGGTATAAACTCGGTATAAACCCGATGTAAACCCGATGTAAACCTGGTGTTAACCCGGTATAAACCCGATGTAAACCTGGTATAAACCCGGTGTAAACCCGGTATAAACCCGACATAAACCCGGTGTAAACCCGGTATAAACCCAATGTAAACCCGGTGTAAACCTGGTATAAACCCAATGTAAACCCCGTATAAACCCGGTGCAAACCCAGTATAAACCCAGTATAAACCCAGTGTAAACCCAGTATAAACCCGGTGTAAACCCAGTATAAACTCGGTGTAAACCCAGTATAAACCCGGTGTAAACCCAGTAAAAACCCGGTGTAAACCCAGTAAACCCGGTGAAAACCCAGTATAAAATCGGTGTAAACCCGGTATAAACCCGATGTAAACCCGGTGTAAACCCGGTATAAACCCGATGTAAACCCGATGTAAACCCGGTATAAACCCGGTGTAAACCCGATGTAAACCCGGTGTTAACCCGGTATAAACCCGATGTAAACCTGGTATAAACCCAGTGTAAACCCGGTATAAACCCGACATAAACCCGGTGTAAACCCAGTATAAACCCGATGTAAACCCGGTGTAAACCTGGTATAAACCCGATGTTAACCCCGTATAAACCCGGTGCAAACCCAGTATAAACCCGGTGTAAACCCAGTGTAAACCCAGTATAAACCCGGTGTAAACCCAGTATAAACCCGGTGTAAACCCAGTATAAACCCAGTGTAAACCCGGTGTAAACCCAGTAAACCCGTTGTAAACCCAGTATAAACCCGGTGTAAACCCAGTATAAACCCGGTGTAAACCCAGTATAAACCCGGTGTAAACCCATTATAAACCCAGTGTAAACCTGGTATAAACCCAGTGTAAACCCGGTATAAACCCGACATAAACCCGATGTAAACCCGGTATAAACCCAATGTAAACCCGGTGTAAACCTGGTATAAACCCAATGTAAACCCCGTATAAACCCGGTGCAAACCCAGTATAAACCCAGTGTAAACCCAGTATAAACCCGGTGTAAACCCAGTATAAACTCGGTGTAAACCCAGTATAAACCCGGTGTAAACCCAGTAAAAACCCGGTGTAAACCCAGTAAACCCGGTGTAAACCCAGTATAAACCCGGTGTAAACCCGGTATAAACCCGATGTAAACCCGGTGTAAACCTGGTATAAACCCGGTGTAAACCCGATGTTAACCCGATGTTAACCCGGTATAAACCCGATGTAAACCTGGTATAAACCCAGTGTAAACCCGGTATAAACCCGACATAAACCCGGTGTAAACCCAGTATAAACCCGATGTAAACCCGGTGTAAACCTGGTATAAACCTGATGTAAACCCCGTATAAACCCGGTGCAAACCCAGTATAAACCCGGTGTAAACCCAGTGTAAACCCAGTATAAACCCGGTGTAAACCCAGTATAAACCCAGTGTAAACCCGGTGTAAACCCGGTGTAAACCCAGTATTAACCCGGTGTAAACCCAGTATAAACCCGGTGTAAACCCAGTATAAACCCGGTGTAAACCTATTATAAACCCGGTGTAAACCCAGTATAAACCCAACATAAACCCGGTGTAAACCCGGTATAAACCCGATGTAAACCCGGTGTAAACCTGGTATAAACCCGATGTAAACCCCGTATAAACCCGGTGCAAACCCAGTATAAACCCGGTGTAAACCCAGTACAAACCCAGTGTAAACCCAGTATAAACCCGGTGTAAACCCAGTATAAACCCGGTGTAAACCCAGTATAAACCCAGTGTAAACCCGGTGTAAACCCAGTAAACCCAGTGTAAACCCAGTATAAACCCAGTGCAAACCCAGTATAAACCCGGTGTAAACCCAGTATAAACCCAGTGTAAACCCAGTATAAACCTGGTGTAAACCCAGTATAAACCCGGTGTAAACCCAGTATAAACCCGGTGTAAACCCAGTATAAACCCGGTGTGAACCTGGTATAAACCTGATGTAAACCTGGTGTAAACCCAGTATAAACCCGGTGTAAACCAGGTGTAAACCTAGTATGAAACAGTTGTAAACCCGATATAAACCAGGTGTAAACCCGATGTAAACCCGGCATAAACCTGGTGTAAACCCAGTATAAAACAGTTGTAAACCCGGTATAAACCAGGTGTAAACCCGATGTAAACCCGGCATAAACCTGGTGTAAACCCAGTATAAAACAGTTGTAAACCTGATATAAACACACCAAACATCTACAGACAAACATGGAGCTAGGATTGGGACAATATTCAATGTAACTTGTACCAAGTTTTGTAACTTGGAACATGTTTCATGACATGTAACTTTGGATTCATAACTTGTAACTATAGTTTTCTAACTTGTAATTCTCAATTCGTACTTGTATTTCTTGTTTTGTAACAGGAACATTGTATTTTGTACATGTATTTTTTATTTTGTGAAATTAAACTTTTATTTTGTACATTTACTCATTTTGTAACATCAAACATTCATTCAGAAACATGAAACTTTCGTTTTGTAACTAGCAGACTTCCAAAATAAAAAAATCAAGGTACAAGTTTGAAATCAAAACTCTCAAAACACACATTTCATTCTACACGTACAAACCTCAAATCTACAGTTACGGACCTTTTTGTCTCGATTCTAGCGTCAGTGGGAGGAACTTGGGTGGAACCAATGAGAGCACGAGTCTTAGCTACCAATCACGTTTCTCGAATTCAGAATCAGAATCAGAAGTTTTTATTGCCATATGTGTGCCAAGTCACAACATTAGGAAATTGCTGCGGTATTTTGGTGCAGAAGGTAAGATAGAAAAAATAATAATGATTAAGAGATAAGCAAATATAAGAAGTAATAAAACACTCATGATAAAATTATGTATGTAAAAAGTGGCAGGAATTAGAGAAGCAGCTATCTACACCGTGTAGGTACTAATCTGAGTGTTTGTTGAATGGTTCAAGCACAGCATCGGGTCACGTCACTGGGACCAATCAACTTGAGTGGGCTGCCCTAGGATGTTCATTCAAAAGTCCAACTGCAGAGGGGAAGAAACTGTGTTAGTGGCGAGAGGTTCTGGTCCGAATGGATCTGAGCCTTCTGCCAGATGGGAGCGAGTCGAAGAGACCATGTCCAGGGTGAGACGAGTCAGCTATTATCCGACCTGCACGCCTCAGTGTCCTAGAGGTGTACAGATCTTGAATGGAGGGGAGTTTGCAGCCAATGACCTTCTCTGCAGAGCGCACGACACGCTGCAGCCTCTTCTTGTCCCTGGTGGTAGCTCCAGCGTACCACACGGTGATGGAGGAGGTGAGGATGGACTCGATGATAGCGGTGTAGAACTGCCTCATCGACTGTGGTGATAGGTTGAATTTCTTCAACTGCCTCAGGAAGTACATCCTCTGCTGGGCCTTTTTTCTGATGGTGGTGATGGTGGGCTCCCATTTGAGGTCCTGGGTGATGGTGGTGCCCAGGAAGCGACATGAGTCCACCATCGTGATGGGAGTGTCAGACAGGTTTAAGGGGGGGGATGGGGTGTGTGTGTTTCCTAAAGTCCACAACAACCTCCGCTGTCTTCTGGGTGTTCAGCACCAGGTTGTTGTGGCTGCACCAGGACACCAGCCGCTCAGCCTCCATTCTGTAAGCGGACTCATCCCCATTAGAGATGAGTCCGATGATGGTGGTGTCGTCAGCAAACTTAATTAGTTTGACAGACTCATGCTTGGAGGTGCAGCTGTTGGTGTACAGGGAGAAGAGCAGAGGGGAAAGAACACAGCCCTGTGGTGCGCCGGTGCTGATGGTCCGTTGGTCCGAGACGTTCTTCCCCAGCCTGACTTGTTGTTTCCTGTCTGTCAGGAAGTCAGTGATCCACCTGCAGATGGGGTCAGGCACGTTCATCTGGGACATTCTGTCTTGGAGGAGGTCTGGCAGGATTGTGTTGAATGCAGAGCTGAAGTCCACGAACAATATCCTGGCGTAGGTACCTGGGGAGTCCAGATGCTGCAGGATGAATTGTAGAGCCATGTTGACTGTGTCATCTACAGACCTGTTTGCTCTGTATGCAAACTGCAGGGGGTCCAGGAGGGGGGGCTGTGAGGGTCTTGAGGTGGGGGAGAACTAGGTGCTCACATGACTTCATGACCACAGATGTCAGAGCCACAGGTCTGTAGTCATTCAGTCCAGTGGTTCTGGGTTTCTTGGGGACAGGGACTATGGTGGAGATCTTGAAGCAGGCAGGCACATGAGATGCCTCCAGTGAGAAGTTGAAGATGCTCGTAAACACTGGGGCCAGCTCTTCAGCACAGTGCTGTAGAGTGGCAGGAGCCAAGCCATCAGGGCTTTTCG